AGTTTCTGAAATACGAATACCATACAAAACAATTCATTTCAATGAAGTAGCGCTTCAATTGAATCAACTTCTTTTCTGCAATATTATTCGACGATAAGAATGTTTTCTTTCTAATAGAGTCCAGCTGTAGCTGTTGGTAACGGCAATAATGCTTCAAGAGAGTGTAGATAGTTTTTCAAGTTCGTTTTCCCATTTATTAAGGATTTATTAACTTAGGTAACTCTGGTGTATCTAAATCATACCTTTCAACTATGTCTGCTGTAAGCAAAAAGATCAACATGATTAAAGTAAATAAGGTTGCCAATGCCTATGTGCATTTGGCAGCCGAAAAACTTGACGGCGCAACGTGGATGGAAAAGTACACACAGAGATGAAACATTTGCGTTTTTACTTTTAGATGATGTGGTATACAAGGTGTATATGACACTGTAGTCAACCGAATAAATGCCACCCCAACTGTCTATCATCCAAATGCGTGCGTTGTCTTCCCATTTCATGTGATTATACAAACTAATAAGATGATTCTTTCATAGCGATCTGGACATATATTTAAAACGTTTGAATGAAATCTTTATGGAGTTCGAAACAAAGTATAAGAAAAATCCTGTGTATGGCTATACTATAATATCTGCATGCGGTGTGAGTAATTTGATTCAGAATGAATACTTTCAAGAATGAAGACTACTATAAATTTGTGATTTTAGCCGACAATTTGACTTAGATTATATAGCAAAAAATTATTTAAACGAAATTCACAATAAAAGGTGAGTGAAATGTAGCTCTTTACAATCTTTCTAACTACTATAATGGAAATTTGTTGCAGTAACGACCAGAATTTGAAAAACATAATCGGAAAAATATGCATTAACATTCATACAAATATGTGCTACATGAATGGCGCGATGGGAAATTACAATGTTCCGTTTGTCGTTATGGAATCTTAAATTGCAGTTGTTTATGTATTTAAAAAATATTGCATGACTTTTCTATAGTAAAAAGAATATGGAAAAAAACTTTTGTTGCCTTTGGTTCAGAACAAATGAAAATGCCATTTTGTTTAAACTATGAAAATGACACAATTTATTCGGAATTGTTGAATTTGCACATCGATTTTGTTTGTTTTTTTATTGCAAGCGTTTTATTTACTAGCTGTGTAATGATGGCGATGGAATGGACAAAAGTTTGTGGTGTCGATTTCTTGTGACATCAATTGATCGTGAACCAAACCATCCAACTTTGAAGTTTAGCGTTTCGTGTAGCAATTGTTCTTCTTCATGATTTAAATTTAAAAGTGTTCCAACCGCTCGTATTAAGTGTCGAGCCTCGACCTATGGAAAAAAAATGAATAAATCAATTTGTTCAATAGTATAAAAATGAATTAGCGTAATTTGAACACGGGATCACACCTCTCGACTGGTCAAAAATTTCAGTATCACATGTTTCAAGTATTTAAAGTTGACATCGTCCATTACAACAGCTGATGCGTTCTTAATATTACTGTCGGCCAGTTGATCATCACTTTGTACACAGTTGCTAACTGAAGTCGCACTTGTTTTTTGAGCGTCTAAATTGTGGATTGGGCCGCCATTCTTTTCATTTGATTTCAATTCATTTTGTAAGGTCTTTTTCATATCGGCCAATCGTTGATTCAGTATTTTGATAGTCTGCAAGCAATAAAAAATCAAATTGCATTAAAATTAAATGAATTTACGCGACCACCTTTTAAACAACTTAACTTATTACCTTATTTTTGTCAGCGATATCATTTTTTAAATCATCGATGCATTCGATCTGCTGTTGGTAGTCGTTTAACCGACATTCCAATTCATTTCGTTCATCGGTCAATTTTTGTATCGTTTCATACATTTCGTTTATTTCATACGATTCATTGAGTAGCTGTTGTTTCAATCGCTCTTCATTTTGTGAAATTTCCGCATTCTTTAATGCAATCGAATTCTTCTCTTTTTTCTCTCTGCAAATAAAAAAGACATGTTGTTTTATCATGTACAGATTATTAGAGAAAAAATGTTTGCACAAATAAAAACCTCTCCAATTCAAGTTGAACGGCTTGTAAATCATTTTGCAGACATTCAATGCGACTATTCATGGATTTTGTATATCGATCAGCTTCATCGGATTGGCTATTGAGTCGTTCCAGTTGTATTTCTAATGACTGCTTCAGTTCGTCTATTTCGTTGGTAGACTTATTCTGTTTTTGGGCATAAAAGAGATGTGCGTTAGAAAAAGCGTTTCTAATAAAAAAAAAAAATTGAAGAATAATCGAACGCCAAAAAGTATGTGAACATTGTGGTCTGGCTGAATAGCAGCTGTTGCTAAGACTCGAATTTGAATTTCAAATTGTTTGAATCGATCTAGAAAATTCATTGTAAATGTTCGGAAATATTTCAATGTTGATGCCAGGTGAGGATCGTAATGAATTCCAACCATGTTTGTTTGCATATTTTTCGTGCACACATTTATGATCGTAATGTGTAAAAGAGCAGAGAAAAAACTGTATCAAATATCATTTGCCAGATATGTAGTTGTTGTTAAAGAATAAAAGAATCAAATGACATTGGGATGTTGTTTTGCAAATGACAAGGCAATTGGTTGAATTTTAGATCGTATGATATGTCAAGGGTATCAAAGTGAATGCAAATTGCGAATTTTAATTTGTCCATTACATCATTTTATTGAAATTCAATCGACACATGTCTAAAATTTATCATTTAATATCTATACTTACAACTTTGTTTCGCAAGAATGTCACTTCTTCGTCATTTTGGTCCTTGAAATCTTGATACGTTGAACTGAGTTCATCGATTTCTTCACTCATCAGCTTGATCTGAAAAACAAAAAAATAAAAATAAATAAAGAACAAGTCCACATTTGATCATTTTCGATTTAAGTTTTCGTACCTTTTGATCGCGTTGTTCAATGTCTGCAGTGGATTTTTCCAGCTGGAATGCAAGTTGCTTACATTTTTCGGCTAGTTCGTCGTGTGCAGTGAGAGCTTTTCGTTTTTCCGTTGTTTCAGCGGCTACTTGTCGTGATAGGCGATCGACTTGCGTTTCCAAGGCCATATTTTGTGCACTCCATGTACTTTTTATATCGGATAAATGTAGATGAGCCTCTTCCAAACGTTGTTCTAACATGCGACGTTCACGTAATAAAATTTGCATTTTTTCATCATTACTTTGGTTCATTGTGAAATTAATGCGACCTTCTTCGTATATCTATAAACAAAAGAAAAAAACAGAAACCATTTAAAATCAACGAAAACATGAAAAAAGAGAGAAAAAAGTTCATGAAATGCAAAAAAAACCACTGGTTACACTGTTGTCTTACCTGCAGTTTGCTGGCTAAGTGCCGATTTTGTTCTTCCACCGATGCCAATGTGGCCGTTAGACTGTTCTTCCCCATTTGGGCCGAATGACGCAGCTTCTCAAGCTCATCCTGAATGACAAACCAAAAAATCCATTTCAAACACATTTTCAATGTACTTTGAAGTTGATAATGATTTTTTTGAATGCCGGAAGTCATCCTAGTAGAAATATTTTTTCTGAACGATTTATTTTTTGCTGAAAATTCGGGATTTCTTCCGGCAATCCAATTTTTTTATTGAATTTTTCCAATTGGAATTGAAAACAGTAATGTTATACTGCCTACGAACCGATTATAATATGTTTCGTTGTTTTTTTGCAATATAAATGTGCTGAATTTTGATGATGGGTGAACAAAAATGAATTGATTCAAACAGAAATGAAGATGAAGCAAAATGATAAACAAGCGAGAAAAAAACGTCACCGGAACCAAAAGTATGTATTGAACTATTCAACCAAATAGCTATAAAAAAAGCAAAAAAAAACATAATCAAATAAAAAAACACATAAAAATCAAATGAAGGAACATGATGTGTTTACGTCATAAATTGAATGCAAAAGATTGATTGTAATGGGATGGGGTTATGAAGTTACCTGAATATTTTCAAAATTTGCTTCCAACTCACGCAAGCGTGCATTTTCCATTTGCATTTGATCCAATTGATTATCCTTTTGTTTTATTGTCGATAGCCGATCAATGGCTTCCTGTATGTACCAAATAAATAGAAATACATAACCAGGAAATAAATAATAGTATTTGAGGCCAAAAAAAAGTTGTGGTAAAAAAATCTAACCTGTTCACGAAAATGCAGTAAACTTTTCAATTTGCTAATTTCTTGTGCCTGCAAATTTTGTATTTTATCTTGTTCGCTGTGAATTAATTCCTTTTGTTCTTGCGCCACTTTGAGCGCATCCTCCAAAATGTTGTTGCTCTTTTCCAAGCGATCTTTAATCGCCGCAATTGCATCGTATTCGGTGAATAATTTGGTAAATTTTGCATCCGATTCGTTTAATTTTTCGATCAGTGTTGTGATTTCCTCATTTTTCTGTGCGATAATCGCATTTAGCTGATCGATTGGTGAATTTATTGTCGTGAAACGTTGCTGACTATTGTTAAGTGTGCCATTTGAGCTGTGTAGCGATGGTGTATAGGCACCATTTTGACTTGTGTCGATGATATTATTGTTGTTATTGAAATTATTCAAACTCAGCGAATTGCGACGGTTTGACGAGAATGCCGGATGTTGTGCACAAACATCATTACCAGTCTCTTCGCGAATCTTGTTCTTGAGTGAAGTGAACATTATGACATAAATGCTCGTCGCTCTCTCAACACATCAACAATTCTATCATTTGATTCAACGAAGCACCGACTACGACTCGATCTACTGCAACGAAGAAACAAAATAAAAAAAATAAACATACACCGAATGCCATTAAAAATCAACTTTTTTTCCTACTACTATTTAATGCTATTTGAAACCTGGAACACAATCTAATGAGTCAATAACCTTTCGTGCTTAATTTCAAACATTTTTTTTTGCATATTAACGTATTTTCCATTCAAATCAAAATGCACTATTGTATTTTGTGATTATAAATGTGATAAACATTTAACAATAGAACCAAACAGGCGATATAACAAGTGATATCGCTTAAAGCGACACACCAATTAATTGTGACTGAAATTGCCTATCAAACGCATATTCCACTTGAAATGAAGCCAAAACAATGTTATGCATGGCTTGCAAATTTAATATGAACGAAATAAAAAAAAAACATTTTGGGAACAACTTTTTGGTAAATCGAAATGTTTTAGTGACACTAAGTGGCAGTAGAGAATTCGGTTACCCTCGTATCAGCATCCGGACTTGAAAAAAAAAACTGACGAGAGTGTGAATGCAAAAATACTCACTATAAAAGGTTTTTTACGAGAATAAAAGTGTATAATCCTACTTTCATCCACCCAAATAATACATACGAAGATGAATCATCACATTACCACTCGAAAATGACCAAGCCCAAAATATTCTATATAATTCTATGCTCATTTCCCGATATTTTTCCATACAAATTACTATGATTGTTTTTCATTAGTGGAATTGCAAGGAAATAAGTGATTTGCATGATTGTACAATTTGAATGTTGAACATTAAGGTGTGAAATGTAGCACTATCGATTCGCCCTACATTCTAGCACCGTTTGACGGCTCCATGCTTACAGCATAATTAGAAGCAACACATTTGTTTCCTCTCATCTCGGCGCCTGTTACGAAAAGCAACAATTACTATTTTATCCATTCAAAGTTTCATTTTATTCCGATTGAAATCGGATCGTATGCTGTTATGAACTTAAAATAATATATGAAGCCAAAGATGAATAATTGAATGAAATTGAGACAAATAATAGAATTCAAGAAGTTTAATTAAAAAATTCCATATAAATGTAGATTATTTATTTACATTGCATGAGCATTGATTACAATCAAATCGAAAATGTAAAGTGATGCATGTTGAAACACAAAGGTACAGACGAAAATATCCGTAGAAACACTTGGTTGTGAGTCACAAAAATGCATACGACACTACTCAACAGATGAACACATTTGACATTAGTTATCGATTTTGCAATTTAATGCAACTATTATGGCCAATCGGCGACTAACAAATTCATATAAAATCTTATCACAAACTCACAATAATATTTTGATTTAAAAATCGAATGAATTGAGCAAATAGTTCAAATGTTCAAGTCGTAAGAAAACTTTAAGTCGTTAGTCATGGCATGGTTATGGACGATTTAAAGACCGAGTCTTTTTTGACGAATTTTTATGACTGTAATTTGATGTTTTCTTGCGATAACTGCAAAATTTCATTTTAAGAATATATCGATTTTTACATTTAAGAAAAACTGCATCATCGTTAAAATACAAAAATCATGGAAAATGCTTGGCAATTCTCATGAAAAAAAAAAATGTCAAAAGGTTTTATTACCCACTTCCGACCAATTCAATCAACGGAGTTTGTTCCGATTTCTGAAGGAAACATTCGAGTTCCATTTGCACAGGAAAATAAATAAAAAGAGAGACAAAAATATGTTACCTTTTTATGCTTCGTTGGTTTTGAATCGACTGAAGTTATTGTACCCAAGCGTTAAATAGTTCGTTTGAAATGTTTATAATAAATGGCAAAAACGTGTGTGTGTGTTCTTTTTAATTCAAATCATAGTTGACTGTAACACACCGTGTTCTTATCACTCTCAAGATAAAATAACACTCGGCTGTTAATTTTGCTGCGTTTGTTGCTTATTGGTTTGGTTTTCACTTTCAATTTTTTCAAACTAAGTAGAATTGAAAATTATGCAAAATGTTGTTTACTATAAACAATCACAGCAAAGGGGGGTAAAAATCAATAAATAAATGAATATTGCACTGGTAACGCACACACAACAACGAAAATAAATAATAATCAACAACAATTGCACGAAAAGGATACGATGTGAAAATGAAATTCACAAGCAACGAATGAAGAATTAAAAAAAAAAATTGTATTAATTACACACGTCGGCACACTGAGACGTGTAGTATTTGTCGATATATTGTACAAATTCGTCAATCGTTATTGATAAAAATTGAATGATTCACCACGTCAATGTTTTCTTCTCTCTATTCGGCGAAATCAATTTGAATGATTTTACTAGCTGTATACACTTTCAATTTTGCTACCGCATACACGCAAAACCAATCGATGTCTGTTTTGATGAAAAGAAGCACCAGCAGTGAATAAAAAATCAGTACAATGTTTTCATATGTTTCTATCCCGTTCTATTCAATTCACTTGGTCGATGTCAATGTGTCAATTTGTTGATATTTTTTCTCCTTGTTCAAGTGCTATCCTCGTTTGTGTATTGGAGTTTTTTTTCTGCACCCAACACGCATACGCTCTGTTTATTTAGTCGACCTGTCATCCGTTGACACTTTTCAGAAAAAATATCATCATATTTCGATTTTAATGGAAATATTTTAATTTCACATTGCAAAATATCGGTTTGAATTGATTGTTTTTTGATATTTTCTAATTCCTTTTAAATAAATTCAAATTTAATCGCTTCCAAACGTTATTTCCAACGAATACCAAAACGATTCTCATTCCATTCGAATATGACGTTTGCAAGAAATGTCAAACATTTCACGTATATGTGTGCGTGCGTCTTTGTGTGAATATAGTGTACGAAGTGTCAAAACAAAAAGCACACATCAAACGATTAAAGTTGATCTCATGGCAGACATTGTGCATGTAATTGAAATAGTGGATAAATCGAAATAAAACCAATTTGGGTCGCCTGATTGTGTAAATTCAGTGAATTTTAATACAAATTGATTAAAAAGAATTGAAAAATGTCGAAACGTAATTTGGAAGATATTTATGGCGGCGACGAGTCCATCTCAAAGAAGCCAAAAACATACGAACACATTAAAAAACACACACTCGACTCGGATGAGGAAGATAGTGATGTTGATGAAAGTCGGTGAGTTTTTTTCTCTCGCGAACATTCATTTTTTTTTGCGAACCCAATTTTTCAACTTGAATTCATCTTTTCAGCTACAACGTACTTGACGAAGAGGAGATACAAGGTGAAGAGGACGGCGTCTCTGGAATGGATGGTGATGTTAAGGTACGTGAAATTCAATATAGCGTTTTTTCTTGTTTGTTGATTGATTGATTTTTATTCTCGCTCAATAGATAACGCCGTTTAATATGAAAGAAGAATTGGAAGAGGGTCATTTTGATGGCGACGGTCATTTTCAGTGGAAAAAGCAGAAAGATATCAAAGATCATTGGCTGGACAACTTGGACTGGGTGAAAATTCAGAAATTCGATGATGATCGCAAGCAAAAATTGGCCGAAGATGGTGGCCCAGAGACCAGTACTGGTGGCGGTGGTTTGGCTGATTCATCATCCGAATCGGAGGACGAAGGAAACAATGAAAGTTTGAAAAAGTTTGATGTTATTGCCGCCTATCGACGTATACTTGAGCTCATGAAACCAAAAGAGACGGTTCAACGTGCACTACAACGTTTGGGCAAACAAAGCGCAAAAATTTCATCGATTGAACGTTTTCGACGGAAAAAAGCGGGCATTGTCGATGAGAATGCTGCATTGGTCACCGAAATCACCGAATTGTGTAATAAAATTCTTACAAAAATGGGCAACATGAATGTTTATGAGGAAACATTTGAAGAGATTACCGCAAAATTTGCATCAAAATTAAAGGGAGGTGGTGCATTTAACGCAAACAAAGCGATGGATGTAGATGATGAACTCGATATGTATGCCGATGATTTTGATAAGAAAGAGAAAAAACAAATAACGGGCGATGGGGATAACAACGGTGAATCCAGCAAACAGAATGAAACAGTCGCCACTTCGACGACAACAGCACTCGGAATCGATGACAGCAAAATTACGTGGGAATTTAAATGGAAAATTGATGACACCAAATGCGAAGGTCCGTACTCAACCGATCAAATGTATAAATGGTCACAAGATGGCTATTTTAAAGACGGTGTTTTTGTGAAAAAATGCGGCACCGAATCACAATTCAACTCATCCAATCGCATCGATTTTGAACTTTATTTGTAGCCAACAAATAAACTGCTCTATTGAAATCCATTTCCAGCATATACGTGTTAGAATTAATTCTGTTTTTTTTTTTTTTCATTGTTTCCATGTTAACTGAAGTTTTAAAAATACAGATTCAATACAACCACAAAATAATCATATGATTATATAATACAAACGATGATTTACAAAATAAAAAACAATCCATTGAATTTTACTAAGTTTATTTAACTGATATATCTATGCATTGAATCGATGCAAAACAATTGGAAAGTTTTCCGTTACTAAATACTCGTCCTGGAATATAACAAATAAATTCAACTCGAATTCTGAAATGAAAATAAACAAATAAATTATTATATTTTTTTCGAGAAGATATAGATTGTCATGAACAAGTGACACTGTTTGATACAAACCGATTTTAAAATTTTTCGATATAAGTGTGGGACACGTGAACAGTCTTGGAAATATCATATAAATTGGAATTTGTAGTTTTGGGCACACGTTTCCGTCGGCCAATTGGATTGTTTGGACTTCGGTAGCTGAAAATGTAAAACGAAAATCTTTGAAATTTCTTCAATCACATAGATTTTGGTTTATTTAAAACTAATTTCAATTTTTTAATCAATAATTTTGGACAACTCAAAAAAAGGGAAGTATGAACTACTCTTTACCGTCACGTGAGTAGCCTTCAGCGCTGCCACAAGTCTCAATTCGAACCAATTGCAAGTCAATTGATTTGATGGCTACTTCAGTATGTTGAATTGTCAGCTAAAAATCATATCAAACAATTAAAAAACTGAATTTCTCAAGCAAAAAACAAAAATGAAGCAAAAAAGAATGCCCAACTTACATGGCCGGAGAGTGGTTTTGTGATACAACAATCGACTGTGTCCAAACGTCCTGTGATTAAAAATCGTGGAATGGAAATGCGCTCTTTGCCAGTTTTTTGTAGCGTTTCTGGGCTAATTGTGAAATTGACTTCGTTTGGCGGCACCTTTGGTTTTGGCTTATATTGGATGACAAATTGTTGCGATTTTTGTACGGTTTTCGCGAGAAAACTTCGTTTGATATCACATTTAATCATGTAATTGATATTGATAAAAATGCCATGATACGTTTCGTAGAGGATTTTCGGTTCTTTAACACATGTCAATGGAAATTCAAATGCTAATTCACTAAAACCCGATGGCAATTTGCCAGCCGCGGCCAATTGAATACTGTTGTTGAGCAACTGAAATGGTTTTATCGACGAAGAAAATGGCTCAAAAAACCCAGCATTTTTGCTACCTAATTGTAAATTGACAATTGCGTCCAGTGTTACAACGATGCCATCGTGCTTTGTCTCAGTTGGACAGTGTATTTGTAAAAGACCGCTTATCGATTCCTGCAACAACAACAACAGCAAAAAAGAAACAACGAAATATAAACAATTGCACAAGATGTCACATAACTTTTCTCGATTTGTAAACATTTGTTTGCCTTACGTTTTCATAGTAAATTTTATTCGGGCGATTCAGTTTGATTTCAATTGAAACAGCCATTTTTTTGTTACATTCGATAAGCAATTCGAATCGGCCCCCTAAACTTTTGCAATAATTGATTTTTATTGCATTTTCTTCGCCTGTACTTTGGATTCTTATAACTAGTTTAACATTTGTGTTATTATTCAGATTTGATGACAGTTTGACAGCTTTCTCAAACGCCCCAGTATGATTGAGAGAGAGATATACGCGGGGAAGAGGGAGGGATTCATTTTAATAATCAGTTTCAAATTTATGGCGAAATACTGTATTTGGCTCTGCTTTCAAATCCATTTCGAAGAATGTGGGAAAGAATCAAATGATTTTCACTTCAATTCAAAAGAAACAGAGCAAATTTATGAACGAAACTGTGCGAATGTTTTCTACTCCATTTAAGAAATCCTTTGATTGAATACTGGCGCCATCTGGCGAAAGCGAGCCACGATACGCACACGAAATAAAGCAGTTCAGTTGCCGTTGTTTAGAAGTCGTTATGACAATAATAACCAAAACAGATTGTTGCCTTTTTAAGTAAGAGACCGTGGTCTGTTTATTGATTTTTTTGGGGTGGATTTCCTATAATTTTGAGAAAAGGACTAATTTCTAAATTGATAATTACATACGTCGTTGACGACAAATTTCAATTTTTATTTCATAGAACTGTATTTCACAACTCAGTGAAAATCCAATTTTTGAATTCAAGAAAATCAGACCTAATACTGTTGCCCTTTTTGTCTTCATTCCTCGTTTCATTTAAAGAATGAAATGAATTCTTTTTCTCAAGAAGAATAACAAGAAGAAGTTCGGAAGAATAAAAAGATAACAAAAAGTAGGGCAAACGAATCTTTATCATCCCAAGATACCATACTGTATGTATACTATACGTACAAAAAGTGCACTACCATTTTCCGAAATTAATTTCTTCAGGCAATACCGATCGTTTGATCCGAACTTCCATACAAAAAAATGTGTATTTTCATGATATTTCCTGTTCAAAGCGTGCGTCAATGTGAAAAATCACCACTTTCAGAGAAAAACTAATACAATAAGCAAACGGTCTTGCAAATTCGATTTGATTCGTCATTCGGGTAAAAATATCGAGTGCAGAATTATTGGGATTACATTAAATTGGGAAATAATATTGCGACAATTGATTTTGTTGTTATGAAAAATAGCATAAACACAATATCGGCGATTCACTTCGATCCGATCCGGAAAGATAATACTGGGCTACCGCATCATGTGCTTTCGGCATACGAAAGCGATACGAAACCGTCGGCGCTCTCATACACTTTAGTCCCCCTTTTGTGTGTCTCTTTCTTTCTTCCACTGTTTACGATTCGCTTATGTCGTTCGATATTGTGTTCGCGTTCTCCGTCCCGTTTTGCGATCGCGCACCGTGCGCGATGAAATGTATAGTCGACACATTGAGACGGTAGAATCGGCACAGCGAGTGAGAGAGATGGAGCGCAACAGCCCGAGAACCCAAGAAATCGAATTCAAATAGCAGAAAAAAGTGAAATGTTAAGTTAGTATTTTTTCAACCGTCGTTCGTGTGTATCAATTTCTCAGGCTCGCGCGCACTCACACCGAAATATATTGTGTGTTTGAATTTGAACAGTGTTGAGAGTGTTTTTTCTATCTTTCATTGCTTATTTCGTTCGTTGATCGAGTACGTTTTTTTTTTCTTTTTCTTTAAATCTTCTTGTGCCTGTGCGCCAAATAAACGGTGTGTTTCTTTTCCGTTTATTATTTTGGTTCAAAAAAAAAAAAATTGTACATTTCTTTCTTTTTTCTATGGGTTCTATGAAATTGCTGGAGAAATTGTGATTTGGATACATGATTATTTCTCGGTGTTTGATTGTTGTTGACAGATTTGTTTCAGTGTCGGCACGAATTTGCCGTTAGAATTGGTTGATTTTAAAATGATATGTGATTAGAAGTTTCAAGTGGTTTGTTTTTTCTTTCTTTTCTATCAGCTTCGCAAAATTCTTCGGTTCGGTTATGCACTTAACTTAATGTTAATCGGCCACCATTTGAATGTTCGTTTTTGAAAATTGATACCTTGATATGCAAATCCAGAAATAAATTTTGCAGAAATCGAATATATATGTTTTTTGAGTGGTTTGTCTCGATTCTTTCATATTATTTTACACATTTTTACACTGATAGCTCATTTTTGACACTCCAGTCCGAATTGAACCGAAGCGCGAATGGAATACATACACACGAAATTCGCGTGCGCATCCATAAAATGCAAAACAAGCAAAAGCGATAACAAACAAATTCGGGTTTATTTACTTACAATCATCGTGTCTTGTTTTTGTTGCTGGAACTTTGGACGGTGGTGTATGTGTGTATTTCAATACTATAGCCATATGCCGATGCCTAATTGTTTTGTTTAATGTTCAATTCACAGTTCGGTTTTTGTATTATATATATAGATTTTTTGTTCGCCTTGTGTATGATAATAATTTTCAGAAATAATTCAGAATTCGTTGCCTTACTTTGCTCTCGTTTATTTCGATTTGTCAAATTAAGAGGAACAACACAAAGAGTCTTTTAAAAACCGTTTCTTTTGAAAATGCAAATTTGTTGACACAAAAATGTATTAAAATATTCGGACAAAACTGAATTGAACTATTTGGAAATAAGACTCCAACAATAATTGAGTTCAGAACAAAGACATGTCCATGTAAAAAAATTCCGTTTTTCAATTTGGGGATGTCTTCTTTTTGCACTCTGAATATACATCACAGTTTTCATGATAAATTTTGAATAAATTTTACCGATATGTTTCCACTTTGTACTACAATCATCACATTGGTTTTAACCAGAAGCAAAATAAATTTCTCTGCTTAATTACTTGTTTGTTAATAACCTGAATTTAATTTTCATGTGGAAAAGCGACATCAATATCATCGACTTCTGGTCAATGTGAAAATTTCTTCTCTATTGTGAAACGAAAGAAGTATCGCACGTCAAAAGCTATTGATAATTATAAAAGTAAAAGTTAATTCACGCAGTGAAGAATTATTGTTTTTTCACAAAGACAAATGCGTTGGACTAAAATCGATAAGAGATAAGACAATTGAAATATTATAATCATACGCATCGAGTGTAATCGTGCATCGAAATATGAGTGAAAAAGTAAAAGACTCTTAACAACCCATCATTTTGCGGTGGTAACTGTGTCTAAAAACGAAAACCACACACAAAAACATATCGTGCAATTCGCCAATGCAAGTGAGAGCGGGTAATATAATTTGCGCCGGTATGCGATATCAAGTGCTCGCCAAATTTTTTGACACTCGAAGACAAAATAAAATAATCTTAATCGCTTAATCATCCGAATTGATTTGAGTTTTTCAAAATAAACGATCAAAAGGTAAAAAACAACCATACAAAACGATTCTTTCTCCGTTGTTCGAGGTGATATTTTTGTGATAAAATAAATATGTCATTTTATCAAGAAAGCATTTTGGTGATACACACAAATGTCATAGCGCAGCTCGCACACTTGCGAAAAACCTCATCACACATATTCATTATCGCTTATGAATAAAAAAAATTATTTACAGAAACAAATTTTGCGATCGTGTGAGAGTAAGAGAGAGAGAGAGAGAGAGAGGCGCAAAAGAGATTTGATTATATTAATTTGCCGTGTGCAGTGTATGGTGTTTCTCTGTGCTCGTCGTTTTTACTATTTGGCATTGCTCTCACTGTAGTTGACACAAACGAGCCGACATGTGTACACACGATTCTTTTTATCAAGCACATAACACTGATGGCTTTGTGTATGTGCAACACGTCGTTGTCGGCGAAAAAAAATGCGATGAATATAAAGCAAATAGGAAAAACAAAATCGAAATCATATCAAAAAAAACTGCTACATACAAAATATATACCCGCTTGATTCGGGTCGTGCTCGTGTATGTTTTCTCGCATTGAAATAATTTTTATTTTTAAATGCATGACGCCAAAGAAAATAGTGAAAATTGAGGATGATGATGATGTTGTTGATGAGACAAACAAAACAGCACAATGAATTGTAAAGCCAAAAAAAAAAAATTATCATGCAAAGCGTGAAAAAAAATCGCAATTCTGATACTGTTTATTTTTTTGCGTGCGAAGATTGACAGTGGCGACTTTGTTTCATAATTTTTGTGGCGAATGTCGTTTAATCGTCACCACACCGCGAAAACATTGGCTTTCACATTGTCTTATCTATTGTGCCATTTATATACATATATGAATCGATGAAATTCGTTGATAGACAATATCTTTTATAGATAGCGACTATTCCATGTTCCGATAACTATCATTCATGCCATTTGTTTTTGCATCTACAATTTGTTCTTTTTTGTAATTTCATATGAACTGGACGCTTATTTAGTCGAACTCATTGGTCGTCAAGCAAATATGCACGTTTCAACTCTTGTTTTGTGGCATCAAAAACAGTAGCAAAGAAGCATTGATTGTTTTTCATTTTGTACGCAGTGTAGCGTAAAACGATTGCCTGGATTCTGTCGCGACGACGGTTTTTGCATTCCACAATTTTATATCGAAAACATCTTGCATTTTAAATGCCAGCGCCAAGGCTTTTTTTACATTTCATCATAAATATGTGCATGCACGCATGCATACACACCAGACCATTGTGCGAAGAAGAAGAAAAAAAAAAGAATTCGCATTGGAATTTTATGATTCCATTTGATTTGATCATATTTTACACGCATTTCGAACATACTTCACATTGTACATGATTTTTTACATCACTGTTCACCAGTTCGCGCTATTTCAGTAACACCTCTCGTTTTGTGTTGAGTCAAATTAACATGCGGTCAATACAAAATAATTTCCGATGCACTCACTTAACTTATTGCACTTTTGAAGTGAACGATACACAGAATAGTAACAGATTAAGTCATATGCCATAACAGACGTAAGCCCATATGTCAAGACGATGTAATTACCATTTTACTTCATTAAACTGATACTTTTAATTTTATTTTTTCGGGTGATCGAAATGAACATGTTTATCGTTGTTGATAATGGTCGCTGGAGATGGATGCAAAAATAAGAAATCGATAAAAATGTGAAAAATTCCATCGTTACAGATCGATAACAAAGAACTTTTCCAAAATCATACATTCAAGACTCCGCATCTAGCTGGAATGAAAAGTGAAAATTCAAAAAAAAAAAAAAACACATTCAAAATGATTGAAAAAATGATCTAATTAGCAGAAGTCAAAGGATGCAACCAAATTTGAATATGGAATGACAGTGAAAAGTGTCTCATTAAAGTGCGTTGCTGCGTGTACGTATGATGTGTTTGTTTGCATATTTATCTTTCATGTTGATATGATGATGGCGTTGATGATGAGTGAAGCATAAAACAGGGACACGCTCATTAAAAATTATGCGATTTAAATTAATGCGGATTAATCAAATGGGATTCGGTTTTATTTTACTTGAAACGCCTCGTTTTTAAAAACAAAAACAGAAAAATTATATTAACTCTAAACTGTCTCTTTCTATATGCTCGTCAAATTAGTGTAAAGTTTCATCTTCCTTTTCGCTGCTCTTCTTTTACTCTATATTATGGCCAATTTGTCTGATGAAAGAGAGCAAGTGAATAAGAGAGAGAGAGAGAGAGAGAGAGAGAGAGAGAGAGAGAGAGAGATTGATATAGTACGAATACACTCAAATGATAGTCCATTATTTTCTATTGCCGTTGTGTTGAAAGAACAGTGATGCGAAATTCTGCTTTGATTTATATCATTTTCATAATCGCGTTTTGTGTTTGTTTCATTTCTTTCGTGTATGTGTGCAAGTTTTTCATTTATATATCGTTCTACACTGGCTTCATCATTCAATTTGGTTGTATTTTATTACTCGAACACTAGTTGCCGAGAGACACATATATTTTAATGGCCTTTTTTCTTGCACATTTTTTTCATTCACATTCTGTTGTTCCGGATCGTTTTCAATCCGGAAGATCACGCAAATAATATTCGCCTCCATATCTGCAGTTGCTGTCGCTGTCCATTTGAAAGCACATATATAGAACCGAAAAGAGCGAAAAACAACACACTGAAATTCAATTTTAAGTCGAAAAATTCAAATTTGTCTATGGGTTCAAACGATATATACATACATTTTCATTTTCATCAAAACGGCAGATCATTTCAAGCAACAACAAAAAAATATATATATGCTGGTATTGAAATGAGGTGTATGTGCGTATTAAATGCACGATCCAACAGGAATTATTTTGAAAGTTTAGTAGCGCTTTGATTCAATGAAACGCAGAAAGACCGAGAAAAATGGTTCAATTGCTGTGCACTTGTTTCCAACTCACGTATGCACTCACACTTAAAAAAAAAAATACCGAGCCCGAACATCTGAGCCCAAAAAAGACAAACACCTACAATTAAATTCTCGATGTTGTGTACCAACTTTATTTTTATCAACACACATTCCAGAGATAATATCACCTCTCTGAGATGATAAGGGCTTTTTATTAGATACGACATATGATAAATATAAACAATTAACGCGAGATTCACTTTTAATTTCTGCGTTGAGTTGAACGGAAAACAGCAACGACATCGTTTAGTTGCATCTGGCGACAGATATACCCGATACATATTGCAAGGTTGAGCAAATGTTAAAGTAAAATTTCTTGTGAATTCCAAATGATTTGCGTCAGAAAAAATTCATATCTTTGAATAATAAAATTGTGTTTTAATTACAAAATTCGTGGTTTTAAACAATTTCTTTCTGGATCGGTTTCACTTTTGTTTTTAAAAGAAAAGCCAATGAGATATTTTCTCGAAAATAATTGATTTTGTTTTTAAAATAATTGCATAATATTTATATTTTTTGTTTTATTTTTCATTTCAGATTTCGTCAAATTACCATTTCGAAAAGATTAAAGACTTTATTCAACACCGAACTCCATTTAATTTTTCTTAACTATTTGATATGTGCAAGTGATTCAATATTTGTGTCCTATTTAATTTTCGATTGAAGCAAACAAACGTGGTTTTGTTGTTTTTCCCCCTTTCGTTTCATATTTCGTTCGCCGTGAAATAAAAAAATAATAATAGTATAATTCAAAAGTGTATGAAAAGAAAAATTAAAACGTAAATCGCACCAGAGGGAGAGAGAGAGAGAGAGCGGAGAGAGGAGAATAATCATCTGTTCATAAGTTCACGCGAAATTAAAAAGCGATAAAAAAAAATCGAAGTGTAGTAACTCAGAAATTCCACATAGCGAAATCTGTGTGTTTATAAAAAAACACGATCAAGTGTATCTAGACAAATCAACTGAAAATTTTCAACATATAAATTTAAAAAAAAGAATCAAAGTAATCATGATCACAATTTGGCATCAAGACGATTACAACCGCAATGACGGCTTCGGTCAACAGCATCAACAGACAAACATCTCCAACAAAGAAACTGAGCACAATCACAGCATTTATCTCAACAGAAACCGCAACAAGCACATCATTCTGCTACTGATTGCGATTTTAATCTGCAAATGTTGTGCAGTGACAGGCGATTCAACTGGTAAGCAATTTATTTCTCTGTCATTTCTTCAACTTCTTTTCGTTTTAAATTTTTCTCTCATTCTCCTGGTAATGTAAGTGCTCGCATCGTTATTGGTGCGATGGAAGTGTGGAATATGATCCGAACAGCGACTATTATCATTCAATGTTTCATGCTGAACGAATTGTCATGATCATTGTTATCGATGTGTTTTTAAATGCTATGTAAACGATACATGCTGGCGATGCATGCAGGTGATAGAAATAAAATTTTCAATGTTGCAAACAACGACCGCAATACGATTTACTAAAAATTCTGTCACTCAAAAATCGAAATATCGTTGAACTAGTCAGATAGTTGAGAGAGAGAGAGAGAGAGAGAGAGAGAGAGAGAGAGAGAGAGAGAAATGACGTGCCGTGGCACGTAAATATTGTGATTTTGGCCAATGTTTGATTATATGTGTATGCGTGTGTTTTGTCTATTTTGTTGAATAAACATCTTGTAATTAACATTTTTTTTATCTCTCTCTTCATCTATATCTATTTATTATGATTATCATCATTTTCGTTTCGTGTTGAGAACGATAAATGATTTCAGTTCACTGTCGTCATATACATACACACACACATTACCAATTATTGTTCTTTCTTTTTTGTGTAATGCGGTGAATACAAATCGAGTTATAACGTCTCTTTTTCCACTTCAACCGAATTCCGCATAGAAAATCGAGCCGAACTATCGAAACGATAACTTACAAGTACGATTACTATGGCAATACACTTTGTCATGATTGTCATCGTCCACCGAACCAGTTTCTCTGTTATTGTGAGAATTTCAATCGGAAATATTCAAAGTGATATAAGCAAGTCAACGATTTTTTATATATATGTAAATGTAAATGCGCCAGCTCCACACTATTTTCAATTATACGCAACCAACAAAAAAAAAGTTTTTTTTATGTTTTTTTATTGACATTTAGATTTTATTGAACCCGTACTCGCATTCTATTGTTAGTGCTATTGTTTGACATTCGCGCATGAATGTGTCATTTGCGCCATTTCATCGGCATCATTGTACCGATTGAGATTCATTTCAAAGTTGTTTTCAACACGTATTCCATCATAATTTTTTTAAGCTGTTTTTAGCATATTTTGAAATGGATACCACAGTCATGATATGATGTGCCAGATATACTTCATTGAGGGAACGGGGAAACATTTGTTTGCGTTCTATTTCTTCTACTTTTGTGCGACTTACCATTTTTTTTCTTTATTTTAAATTTTCTCCGCTGGCAAAATTTTACGATTTTCTCCAATGAAATGGGAAAATGTTTCCGTTTTATTTTATTTTTTCGAATGCAGCAAATGACGATTCAAGCATAAGAAACAGAAAAGAAATAAATTAAACTTATTTTACAGTTAAATGGCCAAAAATGCATAATTACAATGTAATGATTACTCGCGAAATGTCATGATTAATCGAAAACATGGATTGAACGTGATTTAAATCTCAATCAGTATTAACAATCTTGCCAAGAAAAAAAAACACACACACACATTATTGGAATCAATCAAATAATCCAAGTACAGGCATTGACGGGCATGATCGTAAATTTAACCGAGTTCCAGTAGAATGCATTCATAATTTACTACCTACACCGAGTAAACAAAGCGATGTACCAAACTCACATACACATTAAACCATATTTTAATGTGATGAAGCAGTGAACTTAAAATGAATGTATGAGCAAGCCTGCGACCGTGAAAAACTAATTCGTTGGCAAATTTTATTCCAATTTTTTTTTTTTTCTCTTTCTTTCTCTTACACCATCGCATTCAACTCGCATTCGCTTGAAATTCGACAAAACGGTTTCCTGTTTTTGTTTATTCGAGCAGAACGTATATACAATGCGCTGGCTCGTTCGCGTCACTCAAAATTTGCTAGATCAGTTTCAGCAATGAAATGGCAAAATTGTACACGGTTTTATATTCATTCATTGCGATAGCCACTTTCGATGATGCTTGAATAGAACGTGATAGAATGTCTTAAGATAGAATTGGCTCACGAATAATTCTTTTCTAAAAAAAAACTTTGATCGCTAACCATGATCTTAACTAAAGGGGCTTGCCAACAGAAGACGAAAAAAAAACTCAGATTCAACTCGTGATACATGTGTGCACAAATCAAGTTCATCAGCAGCAATATGATAATTATAATTTAGAAGAAAGAAAAAAATGCGAACACCGAAAAAAGCAAATCGGCAAATTTTAATTAGCTAAGCGAATTTTCGCTGGAAGTTCATTAAATTTGCGTCCAACGTCGATTATAATTGTTTGGATAATAAAAATGTTCGTGGAAATTGATTGATGGCATCAATCAAACACATCTCATCGATGGGGTAAAAATTCCACTGAAAATCGCAGAAAAAAGTTTATTCGCTTGAAAATTCGATGATGGTGAACGTTTCAATTTTTAAATCGATATCACAGATGATGTAAAAAAAAAACCATGTAGCAAAATTCAATTGAATTTGATGAAATTCACGTATAACAACAATGACAATTAGCACAGAGCAAATAATTGAGGCATGTTTTATCAGTCATTTTCTTCTTCTTCTTCTTTAATATACTTTCATGTGGCAAATCATGTGTCGATTAAGTGCGCGAGGTAAATAAACTGTTCGGAATGTGTACAATTTATTCGTTATATAGTTCAAAGAATTCATAGATAAATATAATTGATGATCGCACATCTGAAATAGAGAAGACCGAATTTTGTTTGGCCAACGTACACGCAATCACAATGCGTAAATAATTACATCGAAATTATAGATAACTGCAATGCTATTAGTTTAGCTGGAATCAATCGGTTGAGAAAACACAAATCTGCCAATTCATTTCGATATAATTAAGTGGAATTTTTGGATCTGTATGACTCAACCACACATCACACACGTACATCGTACATACAACCAAAAAAAAACACACAACAAACATATGTGCCGCGATGATTACATGACAACATGTGATGAATGTTGATCATTTGTGGAAAGGTGTCCTAAATTTAAGCCGGCACAAAACAGTGTCGGCTAAAAATACCACACACACAAACCATTCATTCTGTGATGGATGAGATAAGAATGCGCCATACATTTAATTCCGAAAATTGCAGCGACGAATAGGAAATTGACATAAATTGTTTGATCGATACGCGATTGTGTGTGTGTGTTTGTTTTTTCTTTGGTCTAACAACAACTCCGTTGACATTGGCAATGGTATATTTGTCTTTATCTCTCTCTTTCACATTCTATAATAAAAAATATTCCATAAATATCGCTGTATTGGGAGTGTGTACGCTCAAACACTGATTATGATCTAATATATGCGACTAGCAACAAATTAAATTATGATTTCACCTTTTTTCACGCCGTTTCATTCGATTGTGAGCAATTTTTTCGGCTGAATGCGATCGATATAGAAAAAAAAATTGATATGAGAGTCATCGGAACACCTTCAGATAGAATGTTTCGCTTTGTTTTTACCCGTTACACATGCAATACTATGTAAATAGAAGTGAATAAATACAGAAATTGACGTCGAAATGCGACAATACCCTTGAATGATGTGTATCAATTCGAAGCAACAATAAAACAGGGCACATAATAAGTAACAATGATACAGATGTGAAATACGGGAATATATTTTTTCTCTTCTTTTGTTCGTTGCAGTCAATTTGTATTGAAATTTGTCATTGGCATTTGATCGAATCGAACAATTTTTTTGTGTCTTGTCGTTCAAATGATGCCTTTAAATTTTAATTGTTTAAAATTCATGGTTAAAAAAAGACCACTCTTCTGATTCGCATACTTTTTTCTTTTACTTTTTATTGTATGTGTTATTCTTTTTTTTTCGTAACAATTAATCATGATGTTATTATTTGTGCCGTTCATCATTTTCGTTTGTTCCCTTTCTCGTTTTTTGTTTGGTCTATTAATTTTTTCGTTGATGATGTGATTTGATAATAGTTTCTTCTTATTCTTCTTTTGTTTAATGTGCATAGTACTTTGGACCATTTAGTTGGTAGTTTTTTTTTATTGTTATTAAAAAGTTGCTGCTTGATTGACTACGGAGTACGCTGCTGCGCATTTCATGCAAAACCCGTCTTTTAAATGTTATTTTCAATGTGATGAGCAAAAGTCAAAATCATGACACTTTCAAATTGCTGTCAGCTCTTGAATTCATTAGTACACAAATACAATCTGAACGGGACCTACCTCAATCACATGTATGAGAGACATTGTGACTATGATGCGACACTGATGATTTCAACTCTGTGTGGTGGTTTTTTTCTCTCGTCTACATCGAAATGATAAATCGTTTTGTGATTACCAGACAAGCATTTATCCAATGAGCGCCCGCAAGACAGAGAGATCAAATTTCAGTGATGAGCTAATGTATTTAAATTGCATGCCATCAGAATAAATTTGGTAGCAGTAAATTGATCAAGCTCCGATGAAAAAAAAATGGCACAGAAGACGAAGTTTGATTGGCTTTTATTTACGGATGCACAACTAAAATAACAAGAATGTAGTGTGAGATAAACAGTTTAAACATAAAAAAAGCGTCGAATAAAACATGATATTGATTACGATCCGAATCGAGAATCAAACAGCACAATAAAAACACGTAAAAATTGGCTATTTTGCTTGTCATTTGTCGCTTGTCTCATCCATCGAATGTGTACGTAGGAATGAATTGGAGATTGTTTCATTTTTTTCATGGTTTCATTTATACAGATGCAATGTTATACTGTTACTGTTGTTACACTGACTCATATCCAAAAGTGGAAAGGAATTCTTCGTTTCATTGTTAAACACAAGTTTGTTTTTCAATCGATTTTTTATTTTCAGTCTCAATAATTTTTCGTTTGGCCAAAAATGAAATGATCGTGCATATACATTTATTTTTATTTTTTTATGTGCAAAAATCCATAGACAGAACGGTGACCGTTTTGATCTTGAT